TAGTGATGTTTATTATGAACTGATGTCACAGTGGGGTAGGCACCGTTGGGTAGCATCGGCAGTGGCTGTAATGGTGCGAACACTGCTGTGTTACAGCTGCTCTGTACAGGTTTTCTATTGAATGCTGGGAAAAAATTCCCCATGGAAACTCTCACAGTCTGTCTTTGTGTGGCCACTCATTCCTTGTGAGCCCAGGCCATTTTCTTCCTTGCCCAATCCTTCTGTAGCTAAAGTGTCTGGATTAGTGTTTTTTCAGTACTCTTAAAAATATGGTGCTTCCAGTGGTCATAGACCTGTATGTGATACAAAGGCATAGGAAAATAACAGGAAGAGTCTTACAGTGGATATTTCAAGGCTGAAATGCCCCAATGGAGCTAGGACTTTTGGGGGGGCTGCAGCAAAGCAAAAGCTGTGCTTTGTTTAAATCCAGAGCAGCTTTCAGGCTCATTTTGCATGCAGCGACAAGCCGGCCTGAAGGAGCAATGCTGTCAGAGTCTAAAAGGCTGTTTCCTCCCTATCTGGCAGCTCCTGAGCTGGGGGGCAGGAGAATGAGCTGGCAACATGAGCTCTCTCCTACCAATTTGTAAAACCTAGAGCTCCCGTGTCCAGCAGGGAGGCAAATATCTCTGCAGCCCTCTAGCCCTGCTGAAAGCAACAACTGCCCTCCTGGTGTTTCACAACACCAAGGTTGGAATAACGGCTGGAGCAACGTCTATTGCCTGGGAACTACACCTAAACTGAGCTTGCTGCGCAGCCTCTCATGGGCTTTCCTCCCTTCCTGTGCAAAGCGGCTTGCTGGCACCCCTGGGGAGCTTGTTGCAAAAGAGAAGGGGCTCAGCTGCAACTTCAGGAGAACCCAGGTTGGGCTCTGTCTCTCCTGGCTAGCTCTAGCTTTTCCTTAAAGCTCTCCAGTAGCCCCAAGACAGTTCCACTCCTGCAGTGGTAAAAAGGGCTCTGGGTGCTGTCCCTGAGCATCAGGCAGTGCTTATGGCAGGGCTGTGCTGGCCCAGGATGGTGGTTTGGGATTTTTCACCACACATGTAAGACCAGCACCGAGCTCCAGAGCAGCCTGTGTCTCTGCCCAGTGCTGCTATGATCGATCTGATCCCAGAGGATTTGGGGTAGTGCCCCCAAGGCCACGAGCACCACCGCAGGCAGGGTTTGCCAGGGCTGCCAGCATCAGCACCAGCCCTTGCTTTTATTATTGATGGCCAGGATGGGAAATGCAATTGAGACATCTTAATGAAAAGCTAACAGAGCTGGGTTTGGAGGGAGGGCTGTTCTTCTAGTAACCTTGCTTCTCGTTATAGAATAATGTAAATGATTTGTCTGGGAATATTCCTACCACAGTGTGCTGACCACGGGCTGAGACCCTAGGCAAACGCAGAGTAAGAGGGTCTCTGGGGACCAAGCTGTTTATTTGGGATTGTACTGATAAGAAATTATGATGATTTAATAGCAACTGTTTCTCTGAGATATTTTGAGTGTCAGGCTCTGGTTGCATGTGTGTCACTAGCATGTTGTGGACAAGCATTTTCTGGCCCTCCCTAATTCCTGAGCTTCACTGTGAATTGGTTTAAGCAGGAAGGCTGGTGATGGTATGTCAATCTTGTTTGATGACCACACCACAAAATGATGGAGAAAGTAGAGCAGAGAGCTGGGGGACACTACTGCTGCTCAAAGAAGGCACACTGATGCAGCCAATGGGTTTCTCTTCCAAAGCTCCAACCATTTCTTATGCCTCTGAGCTGTCCAGAAAAGTTCCACATTTCTTACCTCCTGCCATCTGAGGGAAAAATATTGTTTGTACATGACGTGTTGGTTGGAAATGCCAGAAAGATGGACTGCTCAAATGCAAACCTCTAGACCTTTTTTCCTCTTGTGTAACATAATATAGGACTTGATTTTAAAAAAACAACCAAACAGAAAAAAAAAAACAAACCCCAAACCAACTTGTATTAGAATGTTTAAAAGGGAAGAACATGGCACATAAAGTTCAAATGACTTATTAATTTGATCTGATGCATGTCTCTTTTTCTGGATGAGACTTCCAGTAAGACTTCCTTTTGAGATTGTAGACTTGGTCCAAAGTGTGATGGGACTCTCCTATGACCTAAATCAGTGACCCAAAGCATAATATTTTTTCTAGAACCATCTGTTTTCTCTTCTTGCCAAGGGGATTTCACAATGCCTGATTGCTCTGAATAATTGTACATGTGCAGGGATATGACTTGCCACAGGGAGAAAAATTAACTGAACAAGGGCAGGTGGATGCTCTTGAGTTTTTTTGAAGAAAATACTACCCTTTAGAGGGAGAGGTTGAAGAACCATGGAGCTGAGTAATATCTTATGCCCACAATGAATTTTTTTAACCCTACATATTTAAAAAGGAAACAAAGCTACACTTACAAGCTATCTGGGATAAACAGAGTAGGTACCAAGTCAGCCTGTGTTTTGACAGCCCCCTTATCAAATGTCTCTGTGATTTGGTTTGGAGCAGTGTGAAATATGAGAGTACAGATGTTGGGTGACTAATTCATGCTTCAGCTATCCTTCAATGACCATGAATGCACATCTGTTTCAACTTGGCTATCTGCTGAATGGCCTGCAACAACAAGGTACTCTTCTTTACAAATGTCATGTTTTCATTTTTTTTTACTTTGAGTTTGTAAGCAGTGATTACAGTTTGCATTTGAGAAAGCAGAAGGCACCCAGGGACTGTGATCAGGGGTGCAACGTTCAGGGCTTCTGAATCCAGCAGTAAGAACTTTTTTTTTGTAGCATTAGCAGGATTTCCAACACTAACAACTTTCTTTTAAATCTATCTTCCTACAAGAGATTTGCTTTTTCTTGTTCATCTTATCTGTTCTTATCACCCAGCTCTCTGACTTGCTCATTTCCTCCACTATGTACCCTTTTCTTTTCTTAATTACAAAACTGGGGAGTGGGGGTTGGAGGCAGACCAACAGTTCCTGGTGAGAAAATGTCATTTATATAAAACTGCCTAGATAAATTCTCAGTGTTTTTCTTCCAGACCAATAATCCTACTACAGCATCCATAAATAAAAGCAAACAGAGGAGAGGGCTTTGATCCACCATTACAATGCCTCTTTTGGAGTAGATCCCACAACATGGGTGCAGGATGGTACCCATTGCTTCCTCCAGTCAGGTGTTGACTTGTGCACAGCCTTGTCTCTGCATAATATGCCCCTGCAGTAACAAGGAGGGGTGATTTGTCATGGGGGAGAAGGAGATGGGTGGTGGTGACCAGGTGCTTTTCTTCAAACAGGTGTTGGTGTGTTCCTGTTTAGGAGGGCAAATGCTTCTCCTCAGGAATGCCTGCCTGTACTATTGCAGTCAGCACTGCAGCATGTGCAGCCTGTTCTGTGGCTGGAAAGGCAGCCTGTGTCCCAAGCTGTGCTGTGAAATAAGACTTCTTTCAGAAGGAAGAGGGAAGGTATTCTTAGCCATCCCGTTTGGGTCCCGATCACTGTGACTGGGCCCAGATGACAGCTGGGATGCTGTCACTGGGTGCCACCTTTAGTGCGAATGGGTTGGTCTGTGTCTCCCAGCGCATGCAGCTGTGAGCTGTCAGACCTGGTGTGTTTTTGCTGGAGATCAGGCAGATGGCAAATGGTAGGGTGAGACCTGCCAGGCGCTGCAAAGACTGTGCTTGAGGAGGCATTGGCTGGGTTTCTTGCTTGTGTCCCATCTCTGGTATGGGCCTGGAAATGAGATCCTTCTCTTAGAAGTTAAACCCTTTCATGGCTGAACATTTTTTTCTTCCTTTCAAGGGCGTGGGTTTTTATGAGCAAAACCAGTTCAGCTTTTTGTATTTTCCAGCAAAGTCAAGGTATCGATGTACTCATTTTCCTCTCTTTATAGAAACATTTCAAGCACTGCATGATTAAATTAATTTGGATTGGAGAAGCATAGCATAGCAAAGGCTCTCCTTAAGGAGAAAATATAGCTTTAATAACTAGGGATCTGGCTTTTATTGGCTAGTAAAATTGAGAATGTAACACTGAGCATGCTCGATTTTTGCACTAAGCATCTCTTTGTACTTAAAGGCATCTGTTCTGTCGGTTTATGCACTGTTAACTAACTGCAAACCTCTTTAACAACTCCTCTACATTGCTGGAAAATCCTGAGGCAGGATAGGGGCAAGTACAGGCTGTCATGCCTGATGACTGATGTTGTAAATGGAGTGAGAAAGGCCCTTGAAGGGGAAGCCATCAAAGCTGACCTAGTGGGAAAAGAGCACAGGGACATGTTTCCTCTCTAAGCATGCCAAGAGAGCCAGGCTTCGATGCATATGGGGCTCTTTCAGTTTTGGGAAGGTGCAAAGTGGTGCGCTGTGGAAGGAATGGCTCCAAAATCATTAATTACAGACTGCCCTTCTGGTGCACCTTATGACCAAGTTACTGTTAAAAATAAGGTTTTGCCATGGCTTGAGAGTTCACTTTGTGCAGATTTCTGATGTGGAGTAGATGTTTAGGAGGACTGTGAGCAAGAAAAGGCTGTGAAATACATAGATTACAGTGATTTAAAATGGCAAGTATAAAAATATTTTTTAAACAGGATGAGGGGATAGTAGATTTCTCTGCCGTCTCCTGCTCTTACCCTGAATTCCAGTGAGAGAATGCACTGTAATTTTGAAATGGGAAACACTTCTGCCAGCTGTGAAGCAGAATGATGGGCTTTAATTAGATGAGGAACAAGAAAATGCAGTTGAAATAGGCTTTCAGCAAAGAGAAAGAAACATCACAGTTGCTAAAGGGGGTAGGTGCTATCCCACTGGTAGCATCTGATTCCACCCTTGTTCAGGTGACTGAACTAGAAATAATTTCTACATAGAAAACATCAGTAATCATAACAAAGTGGGCTCATTCGATGGGTCTTCTTGCATAATGGGATAACTTGACTATATGTTTGGGAAAAATGGGAAATGAAGCTGGAGAGGAAAATCTGTTATCTCTGGTTGGCCTCACTTAATGCATCTTTCCTTTTGTCCCTGCAGGATGAGGATGTCTGGGATCTGTTCGGAGGAAGTGGCCATGCTGCGAGTAACTCACCCACCCACCTTCCCAGTGAGCTTTCAGCTCCTGAGCCTTGTGCTGGTGTTGCTCTTCCATGCAGATGGTATACACGCGGAGAGCCCCAGTGAACTGCCAGGGAACGACACCGAGGAGTGCGCTGGCTCGTACATCTGCAAAAAGGGTGTGATTTTGCCAATATGGGAACCTCAAGACCCCTCATTTGGTGACAAAATCGCTCGGGCAACGGTGTATTTTGTAGCGATGGTGTATATGTTCCTGGGAGTTTCTATCATAGCTGACCGCTTCATGTCCTCCATCGAAGTCATTACATCCCAAGAGCGAGAAATAACCATCAAGAAGCCCAATGGCGAGACCAGCAAAACCACTGTGAGGATCTGGAACGAGACTGTTTCCAATCTCACACTGATGGCCTTGGGCTCGTCCGCCCCTGAGATTCTCCTGTCTGTCATCGAAGTCTGCGGCCATGGCTTCACAGCAGGGGACCTGGGGCCAAGCACCATTGTGGGAAGTGCTGCCTTTAACATGTTTGTCATCATTGCAATATGTGTGTACGTGGTTCCAGATGGAGAGATAAGGAAGATCAAGCACTTGCGAGTGTTTTTTGTTACGGCGGCCTGGAGCATCTTTGCCTACACTTGGCTTTACATTATTTTATCTGTGTCTTCACCTGGGATTGTGGAGGTTTGGGAAGGCTTGCTCACCTTCTTCTTCTTTCCCATCTGTGTGGTGTTTGCCTGGATAGCTGACAGGAGGCTTTTGTTTTACAAGTACGTCTACAAGAAATACCGAGCTGGCAAGCAGAGAGGCATGATCATAGAGCATGAAGGTGACCGGCCCTCCTCCAAGGCTGATATTGAGATGGACGGAAAGGTTGCTAATTCTCATGTGGAGAACTTTTTGGATGGGACACTGGTGTTGGAAGTGGACGAGAAAGATCAGGATGATGAGGAAGCCAGAAGGGAAATGGCTCGGATCTTGAAGGAGCTGAAACAAAAGCACCCAGACAAGGAAATCGAACAGCTTATAGAGCTGGCCAACTACCAGGTCCTGAGCCAGCAACAGAAGAGCAGGGCCTTTTACCGCATCCAGGCCACTCGGCTCATGACCGGAGCTGGCAACATCTTGAAGAGACACGCTGCAGACCAGGCCCGCAAAGCTGTCAGCATGCACGAGGTCAACAGTGAGGTGACCGAAAATGATCCCATCAGCAAGCTCTATTTTGAGCAGGGTACCTACCAGTGTTTGGAGAACTGCGGCACTGTGGCCCTGACCATCATTCGCCGGGGAGGCGACTTGACCAACACAGTGTACGTTGACTTCCGGACAGAGGACGGAACGGCTAATGCCGGCTCCGACTACGAGTTCACTGAAGGGACAGTGGTCTTCAAGCCTGGAGAGACCCAGAAGGAAATCCGTGTTGGCATAATCGATGATGACATATTTGAGGAGGACGAGAATTTCCTGGTACATCTCAGCAATGTCCGTGTGAGCACTGAGGCCTCAGATGAGGGCGTTCCTGAGGCCAGTCGTGTCTCAACACTCGCCTGCTTGGGATCACCGTCTACTGCCACTGTCACCATTTTTGATGATGACCATGCTGGTATCTTCACCTTTGAGGAGCCAGTAACACACATCAGTGAAAGTGTAGGAACCATGGAAGTGAAAGTGTTGCGAACCTCTGGTGCACGAGGAAATGTTATTGTGCCCTACAAAACCATTGAAGGCTCAGCCAAAGGTGGAGGAGAGGACTTCGAAGACACCTGTGGGGAGCTGGAGTTCCAGAATGATGAGATAGTGTAAGTGAAGGTTTTACTTTTTTCTTACAGTCTCTGTTTCTCCTGAAATGAAATGCACTTGGCTCCCAGAGCTGCACTAGAGGTTTTTGGGTGCCAGCATATTGCAGTAAACCATGAATAGCCATATGTGCTTTGGGGAGCCTGAAATGCTGCGTTCCTGCCTTGCTAACAGGCCAGAGAGTGCCTGGTCGGGGCACTCTGCCATTCAGCACCAGGGAGGTGGAACTGATGCAGGAGCCCAACCTCCTGCACTGTACCCATGTGCTGAGCAGACTCTATAGCCTCAGCTCTGCAGTGGAGCAGAGAACAAAACCAAGATGCCTATGACCACCCAGTCACAAGGACCTGTCTTGCGAAGGGCTTAAACTGAATGTATGAATTGTGGTACCTACTTCCCCTTTCCTGTTGAGGGTCATGTCATCCAGGACTGGGCCACAGTCTGTTCTACTGCTCAGAGCTTTGTTGAAGGTCATTTCACCCTCTCCTCTTCTAAAGGCTGTAGGTCTGCGTCATTGTCCAATACATGTCATGAAAAAATGTTGTCATGTAGGGAAGTCACATGGTTACGATGCAACTGCGGCCACATTTGGCTGCTTGCAAGTGAAAAAGAGGCTGAAAGCTACTCCAGTGTTGCTCTGTGGATAGTGGAAAAATTAGTAGCCCTGTAGCCTTATTACATTATGTGGAGAATATAAATTAGCTCAATAAATCGTGGTAGAAAACATCTATCCCTGGGTATGTCACGAAGACATTTCCTTGCCCAACTGGTGTTCTGGGAGGAGCAGGCGTTGGGAGTCCTGTTATTCCATCCTCAGGCTCTTCCTACAGTGAAGTCTGTGTTTGCAGATCAGTCCCTGCCAATAGGGACTTACCCATGTAGCACAAAACCCCTGCATAGAACTTAAAGCACTCACTGATAAAGGGCACTGCAGTGTCGGAGGAGAGCTAACTGTTGGCTTGAGTGTTATGTATTGTACTACCGTGGTCTCCTGGAAGTTGAGACAGACCCAAGAGTGGTCTTTGTGTTCTGTCTGTTACCTTTATCTGCTACATGTGCAGAGGGAGAATGAAACTTCTTCATAAAACTTCTTAAAGTAGAGGGGAGAAAAAAGGATTTATACCACTTGGGATTTTGACTTCCCAGGGAAAAACTGAGCAAGAGGTTCACAGCTCCAGCAATCTGGAGCCCAGAACATGCATGTTGCTCACACAAGGGTCAAAAGCACATGGTTCCTGGTTCCTGAATGATAACTGTAGTAAGAGGAATGCAGTTATTTGATTATATTTTTTCCCATTTTGGGAGAAGCAGGGAGTTGTCTGCAGAGATGCAATGAACTAGGCTATAAGGATATCTCCCAAAGGCTCTTTACTTTTTACCCAGGCTTTTTAGTTTTCATCCAGGTCACTCAGCACTAGCAAAACTGGGCTACTAGTAGTTAGACTTTGATGTTTGTTCTCAGTTCTCATAGGATGTGACATGTTTACATGGCAGGCCAAACACACAGGCTCTGCAACTGTGCTCAGAGGGGCTTGGACTCCCCCTTGTCTTGTATCCATCACTCTGGTCAGGATCTCTGTGCTGTCCTTCATCCAAAACCTGTGTCTGTGCTCTCTGTTGGTGCTCGTCCTGTGATGTGGGGTTCTGCAGTGGGATGGTGATGCCTTCTCCCTGGCACTGCTGTGCCTACTGCCTCTGGTGGTGGCCTTCCCTTTACTATGCTATCCACTGCTGACTTCTGCCAACAGGGCAGTAACCAAGGGGTGTGCTGGAAACGAGCTGACCACATCCTGTTGGGTCTGCTGCCTGGCCTCCTGGGGTGTGCTGGTGTGCCCTCACCAGGACAGCAAGCCTCCTCCTTCCTCTTTTTACTGGCTGTCAGAATGTGCACTGCAGGCACAAAACAGGGGAAACCAGCTTTCTTAGAAACTTGTCTGGTTTTTTCTGTGCAGATGCCATCATATCTCTATTGCCTTTTAACTATCTCTCCCTGTAATCACAGGAAGGGATGATACATAGGAAACACCATTTTAGGAGTTCACAGTGTGGTACAGATGCTTGGGGAATGGTGAGTAAGGAGATGGTTGACTGCAGGGCCAATTATTGACTGGGGGACTTTCTCCATTCAGGTGGGAGAGGACATGCACAGTATGAAACTCATTGTACATATTCCAAACTGTGTCTGAAAGGCAGTACATATTAGTCTAAAACTTAGGTGCTACAGTCCATGTTTAGGTGTTGGATGGTACAATCTGACTTGCAGAAGATTTCCTGCAGGCCCATGGTTGCAGGCACAAATGTAGGGCAGCCCTGCAGCACAGAAGCTGAGTGGTCCTGACACTGAGCTGCCGCTTACAGGCATCCTCCCTTGGAAGAGTTCGCCCCAGTGGTAATAAAGAAGATATGCTAGCACAATATGTGGATTATAGAGCTAAAGCCTGTTTACTCTGTCATTGCTTGATAGTGCCTGTGCTTTAGCTAAATCACAGTTATGTAGAACGGTGCAATGCCCTAGCACACTGGATTCAATAGAGTTCTAAAATTTCAGTTTTTCCCATGCTCTGTTGGCCAAGAGATGTCTTTGCTGCCCTTTCTAAAGGTCTTTAGTGGCTCTTCAGCTCTGCCATTCAGGTCTGTATCAATCAGCTTGGTAAAATTGAGTAAGATGTGTTTTTCTGGGGCACTAATAACAAAGGTAGGGCAGTACAGGGAGACACGAAGATAAAAGAAAAGCATGCACAAGCCTCTATTATTAGAAGGCTGGCTTGCTGGTAAGTCCCAGTAAAATTAGAAAGCGCTGGAAGGACCCTGATCTTCTGGAGACCTTCCTCTGGTTCCCAGAAAGCCTAATTATGTAATATGTTGTTTGTTTGCAGTGTCCAGAGAGTCTTTCCCATTTGGCAGTCTGTTGATGTCCCCCTTCCTAGAGTACACAGAATAGCTGTTTAACTGCTGACGCCATGCTGCTTCGTTCGTTTAAACAAACATCTCATTCTGATGCTACCGAAAAAGAGGTGTAATGGAGAAGATGCTGGTCCTCCTGTGGAATATTTTATCCTGGCTCTGCCTCTTGGGGTGATGCTTTTCTACTCCTTGCTCCTGAAATACAGCTTGTGTGTTCAGTGGATGCATGTTACCAAGTGAAAGAAGCAGCGTTTAAATGTGTTTTGCAAAGGGGTTACCTGTGTTTGCATGACAAATCGTTCCAAGCTGTGTGGGAAAGCTTAAGATTTTTGACTGGGGTTCAGCAAGGTCAGTCTCTGCGGTGCTGCACGGGTCCCTGGGGCTCTGAGACATTGCTGTAGGACAAGGTACTATGATTTAAAGTGTTAGAGAGAACCTTCCCTCTGGGACCATCCTCAACAAGGGGACTCCAGCCTTGTCCTGCATCTCCATTAACGATTAAAGCTTTCTTGATGAGAACGTGGAGATGTGTAGTTGTAGGCTCTTCCTGCCCACTTGCCCACTACAGCTATTGTGATCACAGAAGAGGTCCCTGGTTCATCTAGCCAGGCTATTTTTATCTCCTGACTGAATGCTAAATAATTCAAAAGAAGTCCAGTTTCCTATATTAGAGGAGGAAGCACTCCTTCTCTCAGCTGATATCCCATCAGTTCTTCTCCTTTCTATCTTGAGCATCAGGAGGGGTACCCCTTCCAGATGTGAATGCAAAGCTATACGAAAACAGTGTTTTCTTTCGTATTCAAAAAATTATAATTTTTTTAGAGATAACTAAATAGAGATCTATTACAATCTGCATTCCAGATGTCTGCACACACACCCTAAAAGAAAAGATTTTCCTGCAATTATGTCAGTGAGGAAGGTGGCACATACAGTTATGTGGACAACCAGTCAAACTTGTATTTCACCAAAGCACCTGTAAATGCTTGGAAAATCTTAAGTCAAATTATCTCACGGTTCATAGTTTAACTGTTTTTATAAGAGATGTCTGCTGCAAGTTTAGGAAGTGACAGAGATGCCCACTGAATCTGACGTGCCCAAGTCAGCTTTGGTATTTCTCTGGAAGCATAAATCTAGGAGCCAAATGCTAACAGAGACAAAAACACCAGCTAAATCCTCTGATTTTTTAGGGGAAGCGTCCCCAGAAATCACATAGGCTCCTCCCAAGAGCCCTTTAAAAATGTCCATGTCAATAAATATAGATTATGGCAGGAGGGTAACTAAGTGGTACTGCTTCTCTAAGTATCCCTTTTCTTTCCCAAAAGAAGCTGGGTGAAGAATTTCTAAAGAAACAGTAAAAACAATATCCTGCTAAGCCCTGGGACCCCTCTATCTCAGTTTTGCATCTGTGGCCTGCAGCTTCAGAGAAAAGAAATAAAGCCTTCATCATGGGCAGCCTTGCAGTAGGAGGCAGTTGAAAAGCAGGGTGTCCTCTGCAGTGGCAGAGACACAGCTGTAAACCAGGCTGAAGGGGAAGCAAACAAACATTCCCCTTTGCAGGTTTCGTTGTTGGGCACATTCTCTTACTCTTTGTGGTCCCACTTTGTTTGGCTGGACCAATGTGCATCCCCTCACTCAACAGCCCCAACTTGCAGAGGGTTAATGTATGGTAGCACAGCGTGAGATATCAAAATAGACCAAATAAAGATTAAACTCTTATTTGGCCTGCTTCCAGAGCCCAGCTGGGGTTTAGAGAGTGTTTTCCCCTCACCACTGGAAGTATTGCCTGGCATCGTGGGATTTGCAGGCAGTACAAATATGGCCACCTGGATCTAGAGCTTGAATCCTTGGCAGGAGCATCCAGTGCTCCTGGTTCACCCAGTAGAAGTCCAGCTTATGGAAGGTAGCCCTGTGGCCCACAGCAGGGGTCTGAGTAGGTGTGTTGCTCCATGCTGGGGCATAGCATAGGGGCCTGTTTCCCTTTCCAGGGGACTTTTGAGGAGAAGTTCTCTGGGTCTGAAATGTATCATTGCTTTGGTTCCTGAAGTCCAAAAGCTGGTTGACCCTCTTAAGAGGGGAAGATGCAGCTATAATAGGGCTG